AGTTGCCTCCACCCAGGGTTCTGCAGGATTTTGGTGTCAAATGCTGGGGTGGGGGGCTGCAGCCTGTGGGGCAGATGTTGCAGTCCTCTGAGCACTTCTCTCCTGCTTCCCACAGTGATCTTCCCCCCCCACCATGGCCTCCAAGGAAAGTGACCCCCAGGCTGCCATCCCTGAGCCCCAGGTGCAGGAGCAGCAGGTAGGTACATCCTGTGGGGTAAGGGGTGTCCAGAGGGTGGAGCAGCTCAATCTGGCTCTGGCAGTGCAAGGCAGTCTGTATATTGCTGGGGACTGTACCTACCCCAGGGATGTGGAGATGTAGCTGTGAACATGGAATCGGCAGAGCTTTAGGGAGATAAAGAGCAGAACAGTGGGAGAGTGAAGGGCACAAATACTTCCCAGATGACTCCAACTAGGTAGGGGCTAATTTGTTTTCCTGACCAACTCTTTTCTACTTTCCCCCACCACTCACGCTCCTGCCTCCCCAGACTGCAGTGAGCTGGGTGGCATACCTGCCCCAATAACCTGTGGCGTGGAGGCAGCAGCAGACCAAAAAATCACTTAACTCAGTACAAGGTGGCTGAGACACAAATGAGGGCCCTTACCTGATTTGTGGGGCTCTCCTCCCAGGGGCAAGGCCTCCACAAGGAGGCTGTGGAGAGGTGAATGGTGACTACTTCCTTGGAAAGCTTCTGCAGCCAGCTGCAAGACCTGGAAAGAGGAGCATGTGCTAGGTCCTGTTTTCCTCCCATAATGCCATGTGTCTCAAATACTGAAATGAATTTTCCTCTGACCTCTTCCTCTAGGTGCCTGCAGAGACCAAAGATCTGGTGGCTACTGCAGTTGAGGAGACCAAGGATGCTGTCTGCAGCACAGTCACTGGGGCCAAGGCTGCAGTGTCCAGCATGGTGGACGTGGCCAAAGGGGCAGTCCAGGAGGGCATGGAGATGACAAGATCTGCAGTGAGCAGCAGCATGGATGCTGTAATAGGCTCATCCCTGGGCCAGCAGGTTGCAAGTGGCCTGGACATGGTGCTTGGGAAGTCAGAGCAGTGGGTGGACCACTACCTCCCCGTGGCAGATGAAGAGCTGGGTAAGAAGTCTGTGTAGCACTGTCCCTGGCATCAAACTGGCTGGTGGCTTTAACTTGGGTAGTCTGCTTCTGTAGTTGCTAGAACTACCCCCTTTCCCAGCTTGAAAAACTACTGGTTGAGTCCTGAGTTGAAGATCTTGATCTTCAACCATTTCATTTCTATTTCTTCCTTTCCCCTCTTCCCCCCAGAAGCATGGCCATCTGATAACCTGTGTTGGCTCCCACCTGATGCCTTTTCATCTAGCAGCAGTAGAGGTGCCTCAGGGCACAGCTGTACTAGCCAAGCTGCTGCAGTGCAGGATCCCTCTTTCACTGAAACTACTGTATGCTCCAGTGCAGCACTACTTGCTCATATACACTAGGTGGGGGGTGGTCTTGGTGCAGGCTGCTTGAGCAACATGGCTGGGCTCTGTCCCTTCTGAAATGCCTCTAGACACTGCTCAAGGTTCCTGAACTGCACTATCTGGGCATCTTGATGGTCCCAGAGGCAGGATGAAGCACTCGTATGATGGGGCTTGGGTAGAACTGCCCAGTTCCCCACAGGCTCCCATCACTTGAGGAGAAGGGAGGCTCTTGGTGCTCTCTGGAGACATTCCCTTCCCCCCCCCCCCCCCCCCCCACCAAAACACACGCACTCAAGGGGAATCCCGGAAATGTGTGCAAGGCAGGTGTGCTGCACCTGTCCTCCCACTGACTTGCTATCCCCAAAAGCTCCCCCCTCACGAGCTGTGCCGCTTGCCCAGCTCTGACTTCTGCCTGCTTATGTTGATGCCTGAGTCTGCAGGTCCTGGCTGCTCCCCACTTACTGGGGCTGGTCTTTCCTGCTCTCTTCCAGCTGCACTTGCCACCTCTGTGGAAGGGGCAGAGGTGGCTCCACTGGAGCAGCAGAAGCAGCAGCAGAGCTACTATGTGCGCTTGGGCTCCCTCTCCACAAGCCTGCAGCAGCGAGCCTACCAGCACTCCCTGGTCAAGATGAGGCGTGCCAGGCAGAGTGCCCTGGAGGCCCTGGCCCAGCTGCAGCAAGCTGTGGATGTGGTAAGGCTCCCTTCCTGGAGCACCCCTGGCTTCAGGAGCCCAGGGGTACTGCAGCTCCAGCAGGAACTGGCCAGCCTGAGCATGTGCCTAGACAACTATGCCAGCAGGGGGTGGGTGTACAGTATCTATGCCCAGATGTTCCCAAAGGGAACCTGACTTTGAGGGGGGAGGGGGGCAAGTGGAGGTGTAGTGCAGGGAGTGCCCCTTCCTCCTTTGCCTCTCCCTACCCTGCCTGAGAGGTCTCCTGAACCTGCAGTGCTTGACTTCCTATGGAGCCCAGGAGTGTTGCTGCCCTGGCACTTCTTGCTCCAGGAAATGTCTATGGGCCCCAGTGCCAGACTAGAGAGACTATCCAGGGCATCTTATTCTGTGCTGACCTGTTCCCACATGCCCTAGATTGGCTCTGCCAAGCAGACTGGGGATCAGACAGTGCACGACAGCCGGGAGCAGTTGAAGCAGCTGTGGCTGGGGTGGGGCCCAGG